TTCCACTGACTAATGGCCGGATTTCATTGTACACCTTGACTATTACATTTGCTGTGAGTTTATCTGATCCTTAATGTTCGCGAAAAACAAACCTTTGCTACTGCGTTATAAGTTGAAAATTATTGCCACACTCTTCAAAATTGAGAAGATAAGTGTTGTTTCGTGATACCAGACTGAATAAAAACCGTCACTTGGTCATATTATGTCGTTACGTAGTAAGATCGCCAGGTCAGTGTTCACTGGAGCACGCATCACAGCCTCCAGCCTTGCCCCGGTTTTTGAGTTGACTGAGCTGCACTGAATCATCAAAAATGTTAATCATGCCAATAAAACTTTTATAGCAGCCCGAATACCTGACTAACTGCAGAATGCATGTGATTTTTGAAAGTTAAATTTCAGTGTTTTAAAATGAAATATCATTTAGAAAATATTTGCTTTGAGATATTTAGTTAACAAACGTGTGAGCGAGTGAATACAATTTCATTTGCAATAGTACCTCTATACGTAATCTTGTAAAGTGCCAATTCCAGGTATTGAATCCAATATGAAGTCGTGACCGTAGAATAAAAAAGTATGGGGCTAATCATGCAACTCTGATTGTGACCATAAGATAGGTTTTATGATTCAGAATGTAACCGAAATATTTTTAGGTGATTGTTTTGATTTAATTTTAAGATAAGCGATCAGTAAAATAAAATACTCGGAGCGGAGCTGAATGTTTGCAATGTTAATTTTTAATTGGTGCCTCAATATTGCAAAGAAACTTTTAATGAACTGCGAGTAATATTTTAACAAGATTCAAGTCTAGATCTAATAAAAGATGTTAATAATTAAGTTCCATACAACTTGCGGAGCATTTTCCTGTAACCCAAAATCTTCCTGGAACTTAAAGCTAAGTTACGGCGGGGTATTATTAGGTCCTGTATGTCAGCAGCCTCGAATGATTTGTGGCTGCGGTTAGGGCTTGCGATCCCGGGAAGAGAGATCCCATGGGAACATGTAATTATATGCATATTTGAGCAGTTTATAAGGCGAGAAGATACCAAGTCTAAGACACGAACAGGATTCGCGCAAAGACCTAAAGGAAAAGCTGAATAACTCACAAAAGAATAAGATTTTTTCATCATTGTGAAATTGTGAGTGACTTTTTCTTCAATGCAACGATGTTATTCGTAATTGTTTAATCAAAAAAAAAAACACCAGATTCTGCAATCCCAATCTAATAATACATAACTTAAGAATAATGCTCTTACTGGAATCAAGTGGACGTTATTATAAGTGTCGGCATAATAACCGCGATTGCGTTGGCTGATTTAAATATGTTAATTTTTTCATTTAATTTTTTATTTTGGCAACGATCCCACGGGACCACGGGATTGCAAAATGAAGCGAGATTGGTGCAGGCGGGCGCGGTCAAGGACCGGTTCGGGTAGGGTTGCCAGGCTTTATTCAAAGCTCCACATCAAGGCTTTATTCTTCTTTAGTGGCTTATATGATAAATGAAACAGGTCTTACCTACTTTCCTCGTCTAAGCTGTAGCTACCAACTCTTGTGTCAGATTTTCTGGACCGATGACGTCAGTCTTGGTTAAAAATACATATGGCTTATAGTGCTCTCCGAAGTACGTAATCATTTTTTCACCAGACATTCTGGGCGATTTAAACCTGCAATGTCTTCTCATCCCAGGAGTAAAATAGTCCCTTTTCACTAACTATTACTGAATCTGGGGAAGATGCTAAAATAGTGGCGGCCTTTCTCTCTCTCTCGTGTTGTTCGTTTAGTCGTGCTCTTGGTGTCTTCTTATTATAATCTTCTTCTTACTAAGTCTTTTTACCTCAATGTCTAGATGGCTGCCAAATCCAGTTTACCGATGAAATAGCTGGCAACCCTGTCTCGGGCGATTTGGGAAATGTTCGCGGGGATGAGACGGCCGGAGGGCGCGGCGGCTGGTTGGTGACCTCACCGCGGTTTTTGTTTCGCAGACCTTCGTTATCTGCCCATTTAATATGCGCTACAATCATTAGAGATTGCTTTTGAGTTAGATGTTCTTTTATTTTGTCCGCCATTTTACACTGACGCATTCTTCTTCAATCTGAAGATCCGTTAGGAACAGAATACTCCCCGTTCGCAGTATTGTTTGTTAAAAAGTTAATCCAATAAATGCTGACATCACTATACAATGTATTCTTCATGTAGATTAAATCTAGCTGATAGCGTCATATCAACTGTCAAACTTACCGATTATTTCTTAGTCGTTTATAAAAGATTCATCCCAGTTTTTATCATTGTTTGCAATACTAATCACTGCATAGTTTATCTCTTTCTGACATAAGATATTTAACATGCAATGATAGAGATGAAACGCTATTTATCTAATACACTTTATATTTTTCACACAATAGCGATGCAAAGGTCAAACATATTCTGGTTGTTTTTAGCACGTGAAATAAACAGTCGTAACAGACATCGTTCTCGATGGTGCATTGTCCGTTATGGTAAAACAAGATAATAAAGATGTCCTGTTTTATAAATAGTCGATGATCATTATCTCAATAATTGCTTATATTGTTGTCTTTATAATAAGTCGCCGATCGAGCAGGCCCATACAAAAAGTCAAAATGGTATGATTCTTCTTATTGTTTTACTTTCGCTTTACTACAGACACGCACGACTCAAATAAAACGCAAATGTATTTCGGAGATAACAATACCTACAGTGTCATTCGGCAAAGAGAAAAGATTACGATTAAAGATTGCCTTGAATTATGATTCTTGGAAAAATCTTCGCAACGTTAATGTAGAGGTTTACTTACGAGCTCGCATTGTATCCTGCTCATAAATATGAACTGATAAAAATATGATAAATTGTCAGACAACTTTTAACACTGTCATTGGAACATTACCATAAGAGCTTTCGATAAACAGCATGCTTCAATATTTATACGTGTGCGAACATGAGTCACTGCTGCTAAAACGATAAAAATATTCAATACATTCTCCCAGGGATGTGTAAAAGTAGGATGAATGCCGTAAATATACTCCCTGGCGACGTTTTCAAAGAAATGGCTGAAATAGCCAACTGGATTTGTTGTTGAATTCGCTCGCGGAAAACGTTTATCGCCAAGGTCAATCTACAGCGCACGTGCCATACCCCTCTGATATGGTCACACGAATAACAAGTAAAAGCTAAATAGTTTTAATGGTTTCCACGAATCCTCGTGATTAGTATCGGCTAAACCGCTTCAATATCTGCTGTATTTTCCCTGAATTTGTTTTTATATAGGTAACCACCTACCGTGCTGGTTTTGTTTATTTTAAACTGTTGGGCGGTTCCACTCCTCTACTTTAAACTCTATCGTAATGAATTAAGATTAGTGTCGAATTTGATCTCGTATTGGCAGACCACACGTGGGCTATCTTTTAACAAATACATATGTTGTATGTAGGAAGTGGTTCGTGCGTAGCCTCCGCTTTGTAGGCATATAAATATGCTAAGCACTGACCAATCGTGAAAATAGGAAATCTTAGACATGAATCGCGCGCCCCGCCCGCTTCTAGGAAACAATCCCGCGTGGCCTTGCGATGAAACATCAGCCGAATGTTTGTTTTCCTTCCAAGCTATACAAAAACGGCTCCCGCAAAATTTTACTGTTCCTCGGAATCGCGGGGTTAGCGCGATGTCTTGTTTGCGCAAGCCAGTTTCGTCGAACAATTTACAGCTGTTAGCTTAGCCGAACTGCTAATGTAAATCGAGATGAGACGGGAATTATGCCGTGTATAATTGCGAACGTCAATTGAGTTGAGTAGCATGATTTGTTCATCGACGTGGATGTAATCGTCTATTTCGCGGAATCGCGCTGTCGTCGGCAGCTGCATTGCGCCAGAAGCCGCGCCGCACGCCGGAATGACGGGCCATTAGTCGTTACTGCGAATTATTTCCTGCACATAGAAGTGCAGAGTGGGTTTCACCGGGAAATGACAATGCGCCGCGGATGCGCCCGCGCTCGCCGCAATCTCTAAATCGCGCACCTGCACCGTTACCTCTCGGACTCGCCGCTACAGCTGGCGAATTAAAATTCATGACGTAGCTAATGAGAACATAATGGACTCGAGATAACATCGCGTTTTTGCTAGCGTACTTACACTTACTTGGAAACAAATAATTCCCGTAAGTTCTCCTTGCATGTACATTTACTGAATTCTTGATTTCGGAGAAAGCTTTTGCCACCGCCTTTAATATTCAAATTAATTATGTGAAAGTTATTGAATACTGTATGAATATGATACTTCTGCATTATAATCTAGGTACTTTTAGACTACGAAAAAATACGTTACTGAGAATTAAAATATATTATTTTCTAGAACATAACTGCTTTTATCACACTCATGCCTTACAAATGTATTTATGCATATAAATACGAGTATAACTCTGTGTAAAAGGTTTCGCCAGTGCCTTCTGCTCGAGGTACTGTCAAAAGTCACGTTACTTTTCCTTATGCCAAAGGTAATAAGGTTTCAAAAGCATTGCGGCTGCACTTACTGCACCGCTCCGAATGCCCAACGGAGTGCAGCCGAGAACAATGGTCGGGTTCCGGCGCCCGTTCCGCGAAAACGCTTTGTCTGCACTCACTTCGTGCGTTTTGTTCGTATATTCTATTCAATGTAAACTGTTTTATAATCGGAGCTGTGAATTGTATAAATCACACCTTTGTATTGCTCATCCAGTTTCGTTCCGAAATAGGGATTCCCGGACCAAACGGTGGACTCAAATACAGCGTAAACTCTATAACGTCACTCGATTTAACGACAAACTCCTCACAATGTTTAATTTGCTTGATTAGTTGGTTTACCTTGTTTTCTATTCACTCTACCTTATTTCTCCATTTAACTTCTAATCTCTATAACGCTGAAAAATGATCAGCCCCTTGTTGGTCGTTATAGAGTTTACACTGTTATATCGTTGAATTATCATCATTTACTAATTTCCTTCTTCTTCACCAGGTTCAAGGATGGAGTGGCGTACCCATGGTCAGCAGGGGTGTCCAACCTCATCTTGTACCCAGAGGCAGCTAACCAAACGCTCTACACTCAGCGGGCAGCTCGAGGGGACTCTGGCAACTACACCTGTCGGATGAGCAACGAGACTCACAGCGAGACGCACACTGTCAGGCTCGATATCTTAGGTAAGGCAACCTTATTCAAAGAAGTAGCTAATTAGAATGGGACTGATCCTAATTGTACATCTCTTTCCCATCACTGCAACTCATGTATAATAGTCAGGAACACTTTGCCAATTCTAGCTCTCTTTCTTAGATAGCCAGCATCTACAGTTTGACTTCCAATAAAATCCAACCAGTGAAGTTTGAGTAGTACCGAGGCATGCTATCTAGCTAAACAGAAGCAGCTATCCAGTACGCTCTGGCGCACTACCTCATACTGTACATCTAGGGTAAAAGTAAAAGAGAAATAGTTCAACCTAGAACGCGCTACGAAACGCAAGAAATCTTTGGCAACATCCAGAAATAAAAATGAGGAATAGTGTAAACCAGACGTTATGTATGCCGGATGAGACACACCCTAGCTAGGCGTCTTAGGTAAGACCAAGACATAAACGAGGAAGAGACAACTTACCAAAGGATGTGTATCTCCATAATGAGCTAAGTAAATTGGATCCTATCTACACTCACGTATTAGGTAACAGACGACGACAGTTCTAGAAACTCTTAGGCTGAGTTGCACCACCAAACTTTGACCGTAACTATAACGATAACCGGTGTTTTTTGTCCATACAAAAAATCTGTCAAACTCCATAGTTTGACAGATTTTGGACCTAAAGTAAGATGGTGCAACCCAGCCTCAGGCTTGTGTAAGACCTATTTTTTGTTTGCTACCTGTGTATGCTGTATGTTTTCCGAATAAAGAAAATAAATAAATACTGTGGCATCTATTAAGTTGTAAATAGGTGCTATTTTGCAACAAAAATGTAATGCCTGATGTGCTTTTAACTGTACCTACATAAATCACTGTAAATCCATATTAAATGGAATAAATAAAACACATTCTGGTAAAGGACAATTTTTATTGTAGCCGTGTTACATACGATGGATAAGGTAAAATGAGAAAAGAGTGTCTCATTTTCCCTTGTACACTTTCTATAAGCATTAATAGATTAATATCATAATAAAGGCATTAAATCTGCCTGGCTCTGTTTGCAATTCCATTAAGTGCAGCGCTCATGTTAAAAGCAAACATTTAATCTGTACTGGTGCTGGGAAATATCGTAATGGTGCTCTTACACATACAATAAATTATTAAATCGCTACATTTTGGTTATATTGTTTTATTATACGTCATAGGACGTTCTTATATGCCTATTTTTAGATTTCCTCCTGTACAAATTTATTTTTTATAAATAGAAATTAATAATTGGTAGAAGCAAAGTGCTTTTAACAGTACTCTGAATATTCATGAAATACCTACGTGAAACTTCTGTTTTAAAGATAAATTGTATATTCTGGCAGCTCTTCATACAATAAATAAGTAGAGCAGGCATTTTCATCTCCCTAATGGGCGATATGAAATCGATGAGAATAATAATAATAATTTCTGGAAATCTCTGGCAATTTGAAACAAAAATAACTGTTAGCCAGAAAAATACAAAGTCCTACCAGAATAGCTTTTGTAAGTGGAAAAAAATGTTTTAACGAGAAAACGCATGATATTAAATATGATTTCTGTTTCGCAGAAAAGCCTACGGGGACGCCTCGGACAATGTTCATATCCAAGGACCAGTGGGTGGAGGAGGGGACCGACTTGCGCCTCTACTGCGAAGCTCTGATCGGTAAGTTTAATATTAATCTGTAGTACCTATTAATAACTTAATAATAATTTGTACTTATTATTCCGTCCGATAATCCTCATCCGTCGATTATTTTCGTACACGTCTCATCTCGATATTTTATATTTAATACTCATTATTTTGTCTACCAATTATCATCCGCTCATTATTTTCGTATACACGTCATATAAATACTTCCCCTACCACTAAATTACTGAATGTGATGTGGGTATGAAAGAAAGGTTAATGTCTCTATGCTTAACCGACTTAAAAAAGGTAAATAATTTAGGCATAAAATTGTTTTTGTATATTGTTACCTCAGAACTCTTAATATATCATAAAAATCATTATTCTAACAAACGCCCACCCTTCATCAATAACAGAGCTTATTTATGTTCCACTTAAAGCCTACAAAATAAACTTTTAGCAAAATTCAACCGCTTCAAAAATCACTTTAATTGGATCCGGTTTTATTTATTTACAAATACAATTTGCAGACTGAAAGCAAACCTTTTTAATATTCATTTGCTTTAGCTTTACTTTATTAACCGACTTCAAAAAAGGAGGAGGTTATATGTTCGACTGTATGTCATGTATTATTATTTTTTTCTATGTATGTTCACCGATTACTCCGTCAATTGTGGACCGATTTTCAAAATTCTTTTTTTGTTCGATAGGGTACACTTCTGAGGTGGTCCCATTGTCACCAAGTTAGGATCTGATGATGGGATCCTAGGGAAATCGAGGGCAACCCTCAAATTTTATAGGCACGTATATCGTTTTTTAAACTTTTTCTTAAGTTATTCAAGTATTTGCTCCTGGAAATCATCATCTCATATTGATGAGCTGATGATAGAAGGTAAAACTCCTTAATGCTTAGGAGTTGGAAGATAATTCTTTTAATTTTATAGATAAGTATAGTTTCTAAAGTTATTCAAGTGTTTACATCAGATATTCATCATCTCATCATGATGAACTGGTCATGGTAGGTACAACTCCTTAATGCTTAGGAGTTGGAAGATAATTCTTTAAATATTAAAGTTACAAATAGACCAACAGTTGTATTCTTTCATGTTTTTAAGGTGGGCTGACGGTTTAAGGTATTTTTAGGTTTCCTATATGGTAACCTGTATTTTGTAGGGAATATTATTTTACAGTAGACATGAAGAATATGGTCTCAATGTACTGCCTACCTTCAGTGGTAACATCAAGGTAATAATTAGTTAACTAAAAAGCAAGAAATAAGTAAAATTTTATAAAAAAAAAAAAAATCGACTCCAAAAAACCTACACTAAAAAGTTGAAAAATAATTACTAATTAGGTACCTACTTATTTATTAGGACGAATTAATATAAATTTATGTAGGTATACCATGAGTGATACTTCTGGAGTCGGTGCCAAGATTATGAAACATGTAAAGTTTGCCTGCACCGACTCCAAAAGTATCAATCATGGTATACCTACATAAATATTAATTCGTCCTAATAAATAAGTAGGTAATTAGTAATAATTTTTCAACTTTTTGGAGTCGGTTTTATTTTTCAATATCAAAGTCAATGGAAACTAATTGGAATCGAAGTTAATTGAATCAAAAGCCGCAGGGAGTCTTAACGTGCTTACAGCGGGGTTATTCCGTAAAACGTTATCCTTAGTTTCGAATCTTGCCATCCTTCTCACGCAAAGCGAGATGTCAGCATGAGCGACAGTGACAGATAGACCCAAAACTACGTGGCAGCGTTTCGAAGTATTCCTGCAGAGGTGGGCCAAAGGCGGCAGGCATATAAAATGGTATGAAAATTGAATGTGTTCTGTTGCTCTCGGCTGAATTAACGTGCTACCGACACGGTCCGATACTTCGTTATGGGTGCCAAACAAAGGATGTAATTATCTTGCTTCACAGTAAGTGTTAGCTCACGGATTAGTTCTATTTCGATAAGGTATTTAGTACTTCAAAATTTCAAATGTGATTTCTATCAAAAACCCTATTTCTTCAGTGATGTTCTAACAGTGCGTAAGTAATTTTTTGACGGTTTTAAAATTTTAATGCCATTGGATGAAGAAAGACCGCGTGCTTTTTTCCGACCAATCTCCTGCTGACGATTTGCTGGTTAGGCTCTAACTAAATATGTACTCGATTCCATCTCAGTAGTTCATGCTTTAAATTGAATTTAGCCTTGAGCTCTTGTATTATGTAATCGGATCATTATGATCCTTCAATACAGATGTCGATCACAGCTGACCTGGTTGAAACAACGTGGGGTCATGCATGTCATATCTAAATAATAAGTAGATAGGTAGTACCTACCTACGTCGCAAATACGCTGTAACCGTATCTGAGCATCGATCGTCAGTTGCTAGGCATGCTCATTGCTCGCTTCTTAAATAATACCACTGGCAATATTAAAAGGAACTTTCATTCGTTTTGGAACTTTCTTTTCGTTGAAGTTTCTTACTATAAATTAATTTCAGAGATCGGCTTTTGGGACGTATTTATTAGTTGACTGACTGTAGAATTAACGGCACGTGGAACTTAATACTTTATACATATTATAGGGCTAGTTAGATGCGATATTGTAACAATATGAGTAGTCAATGGGATGTGGACTGTACTAAAGCAACATTACATTCAGATTGAAACCTACATCTCATAGTGTTTGTTGCTTCAAACAAAACCACAAATATTGTTTGAAGCTGCCATAAATCCAGTATTTGATGTGGATCCTTTGAATATTCACGACAAAGGCGCCCGCTCACGCTCGTTAATCCCAAGCGCCGTGGGATTCGTCACGCCCAGCTTCCCCTAACATGTTATATAGTGGGGGTATAAAAGGGGGTGAGTAGGGCAAAATAACATCGGTAGCATCTAATACTATTCTAATATTAGTATAGATGCAACTGCTGTAACTGCGAGTGTAGTAATAAGAATAAAATTGTTTTTTACGTTTTCAATTGTCCGTTTGTTGATTTTAACTTACTTCTGTTTAAAGTTGCATAAGGCTCTTAGTCTCATCCACATATATGTAGACTTAGTTAGAGGCATGTAATAGACATAGACTTTGTCGCAGTAGAAAAATGAAATGGACGAAAAGTATAAGAAAATAATACGATAAAGGCTTTTCATAATCGTCTGATATCCACGTGGGCGAGGTGGCTGGCAAAGCTTGTGTTTTATTTATAACACTCGTTTTAGTTCTACTAAAAGTACGTACAACATTTTCACAAACATTTCAGGATGAAATTAATTAAATCTCATCGACTATAGTTCTTTCACAGTAAATGTTAATGATAGATCGCCCGGAGTCCTGCCAGCAGGACTTAAAGTACTTCCGGTAGGACGCAAAATTAAAAGATCACAGTTTCGTAAGTATACATTGTACAAATTTCAAATTTACACGAAAAAATAGAGTGTTTCTCTCTCTTTCACCCAATAGTGCCCAAGATCGAAAAACGCGACTAACCGTTAGTCGGAGCCCGATGGCGCACGAGTATACACGGGGGCAGCGCGTTCGCGCTCGCGCGACACATTTTGACGCGCCGGGCGTGGAGTCGGCAACATTTTGGCGATAATATTATAATGAATGTGAAGTATTCCAGCCTAATCAAACATTTATAATTTATTTCTTGTTTTTGTTTTTAATTTGTAGTGTATTTGTAAGTGATAGGTGTAATTTCTAATACAAAGTGACGTACCAAAGTAATTAATTTAAAGTTCCTTATTATAGTTCCTATTAGTTAAGTTGAAAGAAGATAAACAAGTTTATAATATATTAAGAAAAGTAAAATACTGGTTAAACAAAATGATTCTACGACATGACTTTTTATTTAATAAACACTAACCAAGTGTTTACTACTTCTGGTGAGGATGAGTTCAAATTTGAAGGTCACCGTACTGCTGGAAGGACCAGCAAGCAAACACGTACAAATTGCGTACTGCGGGCAGGACTTGCGATAATCTTCTGGCAGGACGTTTAGAACAAAAGACCAGTCCTTCCAGAAGAGCCTTCCAGCAGGACAAAGCACCGGGCGATCTATCATTAAGTTTCTTGCTACTTGCCAAGTTCACCCTCTGTCTTCAAATCTGTTAACTATTAGCAACTTAAACGGGCTAGTGTGTTTATTAATTAGATTACTAAAGTTATTGTGAAAATAGTTTGTAGAATTTAATTAGAATTCTGACGTTAATGCGTTCAACAAAATGCGTTGAAAAAAGCTCTTGTGATAATTTAATTGAATTTTTCCTCCAAAATTGCAGAATACCTACATTTTTGACGCGCATTATTTTTTGATGTAAAGTCCATTCAATAGGTATTTTTCCCCTACAAAAGGTGGAAACGGGACTATTCCCACCTCTCGTTCCCACCACTGCAACTCCTGTGTAGCCAGGATCTACAGCTTGACCGCCACAAAAACCCAACCAATGAAGGTCAAGTTTGTCACGGGGGAAAGTTAAACTGTCATTGGACCCGCAACGAAATTAATCAGAAGAACATAGGAGGAGTTCGAAATTAAGGTTCGACTTCCCTCCATTGCAAAGCGGATGACAGGTGACAAACAAAGGTTTAAAACCTTTAAGAAAAAGATTATGCACCACGGACAATAAATTAAATTAAGGGGGCCCATCTTATGAGCAATTAGCAACTACCTGCCAATAATATTTTTCACAAAATCGCTTAAAAGCACGGAAATTTTTCCTTGTCGCGACAAGATCGGTGTAATAAATTGCGGAAACAGATGTATGTTGTATTGAATTAAGCATTATATCACGTTCATGTTTCCAAAGATCACACTCCCACAAGATATGATGGGCAGACTGCTCATGACTGACATCATCAGTGGAACACTCGCAAAAAGGAGACGGAACTAGTTTGAATTCGTGAAGTTTATGTTTAAAGTTGCCATGTCCCGTGAGGAACTGCGACGAGCAATGGTCGATTTCTAACCATCGCCTAGTTAGACGTTCGCGTACATTCGGGAAGAATTTATATAAGTGACGTCCTTTGACTGACGTATCCCATCTTTTTTGCCATTCATTAAGTAAATCTTCTTCAACGACTTCTCGGGAATCAAATAATCGACTTATTTTAGAACGATCGCGGCTATTTAAGAAATCGGAGGCGGGACTATTCCCACCTCTCGTTCCCACCACTGCAACTCCTGTGTAGCCAGGATCTACAGCTTGACCGCCACAAAAACCCAACCAATGAAGGTCAAGTTTGTCCCGGGGGAAAGTTAAACTGTCATTGGACCCGCAACGAAATTAATCAGAAGAACATAGGAGGAGTTCGAAATTAAGGTTCGACTTCCCTCCATTGCAAAGCGGATGACAGGTGACAAACAAAGGTTTAAAACCTTTAAGAAAAAGATTATGCACCACGGACAATAAATTAAATTAAGGGGGCCTATCTTATGAGCAATTAGCAACTACCTGCCAATAATATTTTTCACAAAATCGCTTAAAAGCACGGAAATTTTTCCTTGTCGCGACAAGATCGGTGTAATAAATTGCGGAAACAGATGTATGTTGTATTGAATTAAGCATTATATCACGTTCATGTTTCCAAAGATCACACTCCCACAAGATATGATGGGCAGACTGCTCATGACTGACATCATCAGTGGAACATTCGCAAAAAGGAGACGGAACTAGTTTGGATTCGTGAAGTTTATGTTTAAAGTTGCCATGTCCCGTGAGGAACTGCGACAAAGAAAAGGTGGAAAGTAAAATGTTTTAATTTGTACTGATTAAGGCTATTCATGAAAAAATTAAGTTTTATCTTATACTAGCGGACCGCCCGCGACTTTGTACGCGATACCCCCTTAGAGGTTGAATTTTGTAAAATTCCGTGTTAGTGATCTCCTACGTTCTAAAAGGCACCCCCATGCAAAATTTGAAGCACTTGAAGTTTCTGACGATTCAGTCAGTGACCTTTCGCTGTTATAGATATAGATATATCACTCTAATGTTAATTCGTTTGACCACAGGTAGGTCATACTTGGCCGACGCGCGCAGCGACCTGCGGTGGATGAAGGTGTGGCCCAACGGCACCGAGGGCGACCTACTGCCCACACAAACAGAGATCAAGACCACACGGTAAGTGGACATTAACAATCAGTTAATGCACCTAGGTAGGTGGTTAAAGGCTATTGTCAATTTTCCCCAAAATCGATTCGTCAAAATTTGTAATTAATATACATGTAGGTACGCGTAGGTATAAAGTGTGATGAATTTGGTTTGGTTTTCCCTGTGACGAGTAGATTCTGCGGAAAATCGTCAATTTTCTTTTTTAATGTCTGAGAACCCCACGTTCTTAGAAACTGCCCACGCAAACAGAGATAATAATAACCGGCACCTTTTCGTTATTGTCATTTTGATCCAAAAACCATTTCTCGTAATTTTTAAGTTTCATTGAGTCATCATCATCATCACTATTTCAGCCATAGGACGTCCACTGCTGAACATAGGAATTCCCAATGATTTCCACATATCATATTCTTTTTAAAGAAAGTTACGTTCTTAAAGACAGAAGACTAGCAGCTATGCCCGCGATTTCGTAAATCATGAAATTGTTTTTCAGAGCGTTGTCTCCTATTTGAAATTATATTATATCTAAACCAAAACCTTTCATTTATCAAATAACTACTTACGTCATGAACTGAAATGTATCCCAGATTTTTAGTTACTTACATAATGTACCTACTATCAAACAACGCTAATAAAAAGCTATTCATGTCCATGAGTAACATCACATTTTACGAAAAAACACAAAAGTATGACGATATTTAATAAATGTATGATTTCATTGCCCTAACATTTCATTTGTTAACACAAACTACCTTTAGTTAGCAAATTCGTAAAGAGAGCAACATCACCGCAATTCAAACAATGCTGATGTTTAAACGTTATATTTTCGTTTTTTTTTTCTATCGAATCAATTTGTGTTGATTGATAAATAAAACAAAAGAGCGGTCATGAATAACAAACAATGGAAACGTACAGTGGGTCTAGACAAAGTGCAAATTATAATCGCAAACCAGTCGAAAAGTGGTCGAAAAGCCCCTTTTTTGTATGGAGTTTTGACGGATTCGATTTTCGATTCGATCAAAAAGTGCGTTTTGTCTAGGGGGGAAGATCAATGTTTCAGAGAATTCTGTTTTAAATCATTCAGCGTATTCATTTGTAATCCCTGCCACAATTATGCCAGCAAACTGTTTTAATAATTGCTAATTCATAGGATTTTTGCTGGAAACCTAAATTGATAGATTTTTGTTAATTTTATAACGATTGTTTTATCGACTTACATTTAAAACGGAATGTTTCAAATGAAATGCAAATTATAATTTCTGATAGTTTGACAATAATTTAGAAACTAATTAGCTAAGCCTGTTGTTTTTTGGCTACGTGTGAAAAGCAGTCTATTATTGTAATTAATTTAAAATGTGTTGTAAAATTGACAGGCTGATTTGATTCGTTCGTAGCTAGGTTCAATTAAAATTAGTTGAATGTCAATTTATGTTGCGAGTTTTGAGCATTTTCAATTATTTTATATTACATTTCAAAATCTTTATTATGGTTGTCAACGTTTACTATGTTCCATAATAAGGGTTGTCTCATCTTACTACACAAAACGAGTGTAATGTGAAGTTATTCTGTCAATACAGGGATGATGTAGAAGATATCATCGGCTCCTACCTACGGATCGAGCGCGTAGCGGCACCGGATTACGGCATGTATGCGTGTGTGGTGCACAGCAACGATCACGTCGACCGGAAGTACGTCACCGTGCACTACAAATGTGAGTACCCACACTTTATGAGAATACTAGCAACTGTAAGGCTCTTGTCCCAACACCTTGACTACATATTCTCATACTAAAGGTCGGAACGCATTTGAAAAATTGTAAACACAAATTCGCCGTGGATTTTTCCCAAATAAAGCACAGAATAACATCGAGAACAAACTTCATTTTCAATTTGCGAATAGTCCAGGGAAATAGCAGAAAAACACAGTGAAAAAGTGAAGTAGCTGAAAAAGTGTTCACTGAAAATGTTCGCGCGTTTTTCGAGCACCAGTATTAATTGGAGCAAGCTTCGGCCATCTTTTTTCTACCATTTTTCACGTTACATGTTACCTAACGCTACCTACGTACGTTAGCATACACAAATAAAACATGCGAGTTTTGTATCCCGTCGCCTCCGCGTCCGGGGCGAACTAAGTAATGAGGCAGGTCACAAAATAAAAATAGTAACTGTACCTATTTTTTTATTTGTGTTGAGCGGCTATTCTAGTTCAATAGAGTCCTAGTATCACTGCGACCGTTATCGATCTATTGTGATCGCCGCTGTTTTCCTTACAGTTCGCCTCCGAGTCCTGCATCCATTAGGAAGTGCAGTATCTTTTGGGGGGCGATATATTTTACATCTTGTGGGCTTAGGATGTGTTTGCCCAGGTGTAAGCTCCGCTTGTGCATCAGAGGTCCGCAGTCCGTGAGAATGTGTAGTGGCGTTTCATCTGCCTCTTGGCACATCCTGCACGTTCTTGTTTCGGACAGTCCCATAGTGGACAAGTGCTTGTTTAAGCTGCAGTGTCCAGTGAGGGCTCGAACTGTACCTAACAACTTACAGAATTAGTACTGCCAATTCCACTTCATAAAATGCTACCTTATAAAGCTTTGCTCGCAATGACCTCGCTATACTAAGAAATTAAATACATACCTACGTAGTCTATTTTTTGCTATGCAATTGTATTTTTTTGCATAATGTAGATAGATATAATTTATCAATCGCTTATACAGGATTTGAAAAAGCCCTAACAGAACTGATTTTAGTGATTAAATACAACAACGTTTTGTCATTTGAAAATTATAAAAAAGGCGCCACATAGCGGCATTCTAATGACATAGTAATTCAAACTTTTATCTTTTTACGAATGTTTAATGTTGGAACAAAAAAAAATCAGCATTATCTCCTTTATAGGTTGTTAATAGAGATGAGACTAGTCGGGAAAGCCGACTATTCGGCATCATTTGTAGTCGGCCGACTAGTGACGACTATTCGGCAAAATATGCCGATTATAATCGGCGCATTACAAAATTAAATATCAGAATGAAATAAACTCATAATCACCAAGATTGTTATGAGGTGGACCAAGGGCGTTATCTAAATCACTTTTGACTGCAAAAAATCAGTAAAAAGTGGTTTCACCTGATTTAAAATTTTGGCATTCAGTCTAAATTCATACAAAGTTAAGATTAGTTAAAATTACCAGAAAATCATCAAATAAAAATTATGACAATTTTTTTTTTCGGGGAAAAAATACATGGAATTGCTTACCTATCCTGCGGGGAATTGGTAGATTATGTGGGGCTCCTCTCATCGGAAGGATGAGGAATACCCACATAAATAACCTCTGAGATCGCTATAGTGTGAAGAACTATGGGAATCCGGATAATGCCATCAACTATCACAGTCCGTCCCGGCAATTTCCCACCTGTATGGCGGGCCCTCCTGTATGAGTACAGGCACAAGGCCAGATGTATGGCGGGCCTTGCCTTTCCGACGGTAGTGGTAGTCCGTGCTATGCAGGCGGGGGTACCCCCACGCCCCCAGCTCTCTGACCATCACCGTGGAGGGTGGAGAGGAATCAGTGGGCCTAGGATACGTGCCGCGATAAGCGCAATTTCACCCATACATTTTGATGCGCGCTCGGGCTCGCATCCTAGCCCAGCAGGAGGTGATCATATTGTCACCTCCTCTGACCCCTCCGCCGTCGAATATTATGACATCTACCTTAGGTACTGTTAGGTGATTGTAATGTTGCTTTTTATTTTTTCTCATTAAAGAAATTTCATTTCTCAAGAAGTTATATTTATCTCTTTGGTAATCTAGATATTCATATTTCTTTGAGAAAATCTAGATATTATTATTCGGACAAGTAGGTATTAGAATGATCGGCATTGCCGATTATAGTCCAGTCAAATTAGNTGGTAATCTAGCTAGATATTCATATTTCTTTGAGAAAATCTAGATATTATTCTTCGAACAAGTAGGTATTAGAATTATCGGCATTGCCGATTAGTCGGCCGACTCATCGGCAATTTGAAAACCGACTAGTCGGTTAGTCGGCAAAGACCATAGTCGGCCCATCACTAATAATTATATATCGACAGGTAAAATGTCATCCCACTAGGGGAGGATCGGTAACAGTCGAGTTGAACGGCAAGAGCGCAGTGAAAGAGTTGATTGAAAAATACACACCGAATTGAGAACCTTCCCCGTCACACGTCACACGTCTCCAATATTCGCCAGATATGATAACGGCGAATGTCAAACGTAATGTGAAGGCAACGTAGATAAGTCAGGTCAATTCAAACTCGCTGACGTCGAAGAGTTAAAAAAGAACCATCGTTAGTTAAGCGCGTCGCAAATTGAAATATGAAGGCATCGAGTGTGACTGTTTGAGGAATTCACAACTGTCGGCGGGCGGGCGGCGGCGAGGGCGCGCGAAGTTCCTAATTAAATATGAACGCGGCCGCGGCGGGCGCTTCGGCGGCGGACTCGTTTCACTTTCATATTATCATCAACGGCTTTGTGAACAACCCTGTGACGAAATGTAACCTAAACTAATCTAATGATTAAAAACAATTTATAACACCATAAAATTCTTGAGATTAAATCGATTTTTGAGCGTCTTTCAGATTAATTTGATCAATAGGTAGATACTATGGTAGATTGATTGTTAATTAACATTAATACAATATCTATTATTTACCGAGTGTATCCTTCATTTTAAAAAAACAATGCAAATGTTGTTTAAAAAATATTAAAAATGGCGATAATATTTTTTTATTACCATTTCATCAGTTCCAAACGCTTAAATAATACACATAGAACAAGGAACCTTCAAAAGCGAGCTCGATGTGACGTGGATTCAAATTCGTTAGCGTCACAACTGGCCGCCGGAACATGAAGCGACGGCGCTTGCGCGCGCGCCGGCCGGAAGCTCTTCCGCCGCGGGTTGCCTAGGAGGCTCCATCACCGTTCGCAACTTGTACGGACGTCATAGTCGCTACTAAACGCGAACGCCACGTCGTTCATTGTTAAAGACAAACGATTTCACAAAATTAGGAGTATAAGCTGGGAAAATTAGTTCCAGAAACTCGACGCCGCGACGGGGAAACTGGGTCTCTCTTACATAATTTTTTTGGAAATATCTCATTTCCTATGGGTTTTTTGCTATTTGTATTAATTATCAATATTGTAGAATACAAAATTCTCCTCAAATTTTGTTCAAAAAATTTTTTTATACGGTGAACCGTTTTCGAGATAGAGGGCGGCCGCTAGTACTTATAATAAATCTGTAGAGAGGTCAATTCTATACATGAAATATATTTTCAAAATAACTATCAGGGGGTGATTAGTGATCGATACTGATGCCAAAAATGCAATCAGTAAAATTTTTGTCTGTCTGTCTGTCCGTCTGTATGTTCCTTATAGAAACAAAAACTACTCGACGGATTTTAACTAAACTTGGTACAACAATTATTCTTCATACACCTGGGCAGGTTATAGTATACTTAGGAATTCCCACGGGAAAAGGAATTAGCGGCCTCACCCTATTACATCGGTCTTTTCGGTATTTCGGTCTTTTAAAATCTGTAAAAGTAATAAGTAATTATATTTTCAGTTTGCATGTGCAAAAAATATATATTATATATTTTTTATGCATAACAAGGCAGGTATTTTCAGGTGGAATATAATAGAGGCCAAATAAATAAAATCGAGTATTCATTGTGTGCGCTGGCGAACGTCTCGTGTGTTTCATGCGCGGGAGTGCCAGGAGTATCGAGCTTCCATCCATGCCATCAGGATGCTTTTAAGGCAGAGGGAACGTGTGAAAACAGTTTTGTAGAAAAGGCTTTAGGGATGTTTCTTGGGTCAAAAAGCAAGAGTTTGAATTAGTCCGTCAGTTAACTTATCAAAAAATACTCTACACGTATTTTTCACTTTTTCAAACTAATGAAAATTTAAAGAGATAAAGCGCGACAAAGTTCATAAGAAGAGGCCCGTGACGTCAATGCGTGCATAAAACTGCCGCACGTTGTGACGTCGTGCGGAACTTCAACGCACCATAACTATGTAATTATTTGTTAGATTGACAAATAAAAATATATGTGTCCAATATTTTTTGATATTAAACATTACGGACTAAAAAAATTTTTTTAGGAAACTAGCCTTTGTCTGATCTGATCTGTCTTTGGAGTTTGAGTCGCCGCGCCACTTGACATTCCATCAGCCGTCGAGTGATGTGTGGAAATTGAAAATTTTACACTTTTTCTTTTTCAAATTTCACCGTCTAACGTGGACGTGCATAGTTTTCTCATAAACTATGTGCAGTAGTCATTGTTTGATTTGAACTCTTGTCACTTTCCAACACACGCCTCACGGGCGCCGCTAAACCGCTCCCAATATGAAATTACATTCCAACGATCTTGATTAAACGCCGAACTTCTGAATTTAAGGCTGCGAAGAGACATTCCAACATGTGAAGTGAAATGAAACTCGTTTGATGGCCCTTTTTGACAGCATGCTATTGGAAACAAATTAAGGAAAGAGTATCAACAGTGGTGGCGACGCAGCGGCAAAGCCAAACAAGGCTAACAAAACCCAGCACAGTGGAAGGATCCGATCACTGCATGCGCCAGCGCCGCGCGGTCATTACCTGAAATAATGACCGCGCGGCGCTATAGGCCGCGCCTATATAGCGGATGTTTACGCGGAGCGCTCATGTGCACAC